ATCAAAGTGCATATGGGTGATCGATTTGGTTCAAAGTATTGGTCAACATGCTTTTCATAACTCCAGTAATACATACATATAGAGTTTAACAGGTGAACCGTGAACCAGTACAAGATGTCCCATAATCTACCCATAAATATATATACTAAAGGCGCCCTGTTCAGGTAAAATCTCAACATGTAACATGGCATTGAAACAACAGCAACAACACAAAAGCTGATAAAATGATAACAAATAAGTAAGCACAACTCGCATTGTAATTCCAACGTGAGTATCTTTCAAAATTCAGACATGAAAAAGTTTGAAATTCATATTTAGCAGGAACTCTGAAAATTTCCTCTAGAAGATAAATAAATTTAAATGGTAACTTTTTTGTGGAAAACGGGATGTCTAGTAGGAGGAACTGATATGCAGTGTACAAATTCAAAGCTGTTAAATATTACATCATAATGTCAGATTTCTTAAATTCTAATTCTAAAGTAGGCCTTTCTTTTTATTATTTAAATGCATAATGCATAAATTATTATTGTTTCTACATACTCATTTCTTGGTAAACTGGCCAGGCTGTCAAATGTGAAACTTGAAGTTCCTTTTCTTGTCTTTTCAGAGGATGGTGAAGCATAATATGACCAGATTTCTGGGGACTTAAAACATAATTTATTTATTTATTTATTTTATAATAACAAATGAATCTTTAGTGTTCTACATGTTTACAGGAAGTCTGTGAGTAAAAACAGCAAATCAAAAATCAAACGCTATATTACCAAACAAGTCTAGTAAAAATCTGGACTAGCTGAAGTTTTAACTGGCAGCTTTCTCAGCTCAGGCAGGCACTACAGAGTATGATGTCAGATCACATAGCTGACCCTCTCAGGTGTTTGACCTGAGGCAATATCACAGGTCCTCTCTTATTTGGAACAATGCCTAAAGTATGTTTTTGCTTCACATTCTTGTTCGTTCATAATTACTGTCAGTAGAAATAAGTCAGACTGAGTGGAGTAATCAAATCTGTCTAGAAAATTGGACGACTGCATAGGGGGAATTCGATTTGTTTGACCACAAGTACAGTATGATTACAGACAGAGGATGATGACACAAATTCCCGTTACCAATTAATCAAGACTGTAACAAAATTTATGATTCAATAACCATTGGTTAAACATCTTGATAGAAAATAAAAATTTCAACAGTACAGAGTGTTTTCATCAAGGTGCACAGGAAATGGATACATCTGTCCAAGAAAGAGCACCATGCAGGATGCATGTGTGCTGTCCAATTACATGTATTATTATACATTGAACTCACTATCTCTTTTCTGATTGGCCGAAAGTGTACAGTGAATTTTTGAAGTCAGCGCCTGTGACGTTTTCTAGCTGCAGATTATACAATAATCATGTCGAGGACACTCAAGGTCACAGGTAGTCACATCATGTATAACCATGGTGCATGATTTCTAAGGGTAATTGAATGAAGTTCGCATGCTTTGTGTTGCTTGCCGTCGGTGAAGAAGCAAAAACATGATTTCCATTTTTTTTCCGTTCAATGTATAATTTATAAAACAATTATTAGATTCCATTTTTTGTGATATCCAGAATAATCAAGGTCTTGGTAAGGGATATCAGCCAAAGCCGAAGGCTACCCCTACCTCAACCTTGATTATTCTGGATATCACAAAAACCTCATCCAACAACAATTGTTTACACTGTCTAATTGGAAGCATGATGCCTACAGTACAC